AAAATCCCCCAACCGGTTTTTTTTAAAAAAAAAAAAAAAAAAAAAAAAAAAAATTTAGTCTTGCTTGACTATGAAAATTGGTTAAGCCTGAAGTTCGTCAAAGTTCTAGTTCCATGGCTGGCCTGTCCCGGCACTCAAGGGCTTCTCTTAGAGTTTAGAGTACTTTCCAAGTTCACTGGACAAATTAGAATGGAGCAATTCATCCCATTCGATCTGTTCTTCCATATACACAGCACAAGTCAATGTTTGTTATGATTTGCTTGATCCTTATTTATAAGACAATACAAGAGGAAACCATGTGTGTATGTTTGAAATAGAAATGATACATTGCACAGATATAGTTCACCACGTTCTGGGATGGGTTGTCAGTGTTCAAATGGGGAGCCTGAAAAGCAGGAACAGATGCTTTTTTTCCTTAATGGCCCTTTCTCTCATTTAAAATCCTTCCATTTATTTTCCTAAGATTTAGTGATAACTTTAAACACTTTAACTAAATTACCCAGCGGCTTGGCAGCCATCAAATCCTTTTAGAAATCCTAGCAATCTGTTAGATCGTGGGTACTATGATATAAAATCTGCGTGCTCCATGTACAAAAATTAAATCAGTGCAATGTATACAAATACATACTGCAAATGGCACCATTACCAAACTGAGGGTACATGACCTATCTCTAAACTTTGAATTTTTATATGTTTTTCAGTCATTGACTTTCTAAATTTGGGCCAATTTATTCTCATTATCCCTAAGTAAACATACTTTGAATTTTTTAAAGTTATTTTATAGTCAAATAGAACCAGCCAGCCCTGATTCATGAATCCTGATGTTGCTAGGATACATGGTTTGGTATTTGATGAAAGTATATAACTTCAAAGAGGAAAACTTTCAAGTGTCCTAGAAAATGACACTCCCATCTTCCACCGTGGAAGACAGACTCAATCCTACAGCTTCTCAGAAGCTCACAGACTGCAGGACTGGCCTCCCTGTGCTTTGAAATAAGCATCCTCTCTGGAGGGCTGTTCGATTGTTAAAACTGGTAAAAGTTGGTCTTAAAGCAAGGAACACACGTATTTATAATAAAGCACGTTTTCATGTTTCTTTTACAGTGAAGAGAAAAAAACCCAGAACCCCCAGATTTTATGTACTTTGAAAATATATTTAAAAACATTAAAAATTCTATATTTAAAACATATATTATATGTTAATTAGTACACTTAAATAGAACTTGTATTTACAATAGGCTTCTGATGCGGTTAAGTTTTAATGCCAATTTTTTTCAATAACATAATTATATAAATATACTAAAATACAATAAATATTTTTTTTTTTGTTTTACATGGTGAATAATATCTTTACCATAGAGAGAACAAGGCCACAGACATTTACTTACATTTCAATGGGAATCACCATAAAAAAGCAACAGGCCTGCTGCCATGCATGAGACACTTCTGCCACAAAGAGACCACAGCAAGACTTTAAAAAACAAACAAAACAGAACAGAACAAGAACAAACAGCAACAGAGAAAGATTTTAACAAAATAAATCTTAGGTCAACATAAACCACCAAGCATGTGATTGTGATATCTTATTGGGTAAGAGAGAGCCAGTGACCACACAATAGCCAAATGTCTCCTACAAAACCACTTCACAGATCTGGCCCTTGTGATACTTTGAGATTGTGATGGGGACTTACGTTTTTAAATTTTGTCCCCCAAGAGGAAGCTGCAAAAAGTTAACATACAGAAGATATTCCAAGCATTCATTACATGTTAAAAATAATTACAAAGATAATATTTTCAAACAGCACAAAACAAACCTATACTACACAAAGCCTTCCTTCTTTTAAAGACAGGTGTTCAGATGGTACTGTAAAAGATGGGCTAGTTCTAAATGAAAGACTGAACAAATAGAAATCATCTGGTGATGGTATCTTCATCCCCTGTGTCATGGTGGACATCCTGTTTAGCATATCCCTCACTCAGCTTGGATGCAGCAATTGCTTGCAGCTTTCTAATACTCCAGGACGCTGGTTCAGGTGGTTACCAATAACATTTTCAGTGGATGGAATGGGTGAATGGGCTCAGCACTAATTTTCACTGGGATCCATTTTTCCTAGGATCACTATTCCAGGCTCACAACTTGACTTCTCCAAACTCAAAATGGCAGAGGTGAGGCAGGCATCCTCCACATGTACAGACAGGCCGGGCAGGAGATTGCTGTGGTCTTCACTGGGGAGCAAAGTTTTGTCAGCTCTGTCCTGGCCTCTTCCATTGAGCAAGGTACCTTTAAGCCTTGGTGTCGTAGATGTTCAGACACCTTCCCAAAGTCTTGTCTTTGGACAAGATTCTCTCTCAGTAGCCTTGATCATTTAACCTGAGTTTGGGGCCTTTTCCTGTTCCCTTTCCCCTTACCCAAAGTTCTCATAAGATAAAACCCTGGTTTCCTCAAGTCTAGTTTCAAAGCAATAAGTGTTCATGTAGCAAAGATCTTCTGTGTCATTGCATCAATCTCATGATCACAAATGCCACATTTGGCTCCGAACCTGCTCCAGGCTAATCCAACTTTATGCAAAATTATCCAGGGGTGGAATGGAGGGCATAAGTCGGCTTGAGTGTGATCCTCCAGTTGAGAACCTCTTGAGCACAGTTAGAAATGTAGGCACTTAAAGCATGAGTTCCAAGCAACTCAACACATGTCATTCCAGAGCTACCTCCAAAAGGTCCTTCAGAGGCCTTCCTTATGGAATGTCTCAAGTACCATTTGCCACCTCTACCTGGAGCTTGGAATGGCCACTCAGAAATTCCTCCTGCACTGCCGGGAAATAATATGTCAGCCCCACATAGCCTCCATATAGCTGTTCGGTCTCATTTCACTGGCAATGTGGATTCGTGCCCTGATCTAGATGTTTCTGGGTTCATACAGAACTCTACTCTTTGCTTGAAAGACATTTCTAAGCCTTACCATGGTTCACCCAAATGTTTACCCCTCATAAAAAAAAAAAAAAAACACTTTATTTTTGTTGCTCTTTTTCTCTTGCAAAAAAATAAAAAAGAAAGAACTGTTTTCCCTGCTTACAGGAGTGCCACCACGTGACACAATTTGTTCACAGCAGTGGTAAAGTATTTCAGGGCGTGCAACTGATTTTTCTTCCTTAAGCTAAAACGAGACAAAGAGGGGACCAGAGGGGGAGGGAGGGAAAGAATGTGCTCTAAGCCAATGTTAGTCTTTCCAACAAAAGAAGCTTCCAACACCCAAAGAGTGGAGTGAGCGGGGGCCTGGGACCTACATCATGGGAAGTGGGGTGTGAGCATCTTGTTCAGTTGCCTTAATTTTTATTCACTTTCCAGTCATCTGATTGATACTGCAAACATCTCTACAACATACAAATGTATCTTTTATCTGCCAGGATATATAATGAAGAAATTCTTTCCCCATCCTTACTCCCTGGGGGAACTAAAAAACAAAACAAACAAACAAACAAAAAAACCACAAAACAAACAAAAATATTCCCCTCCCATCCCCCACCCCCTAAGCCAGTAAAGCAATGACAACAGCACCTTGACATTGTTTTAATTCCAAAGCTATCAGAAGTTAAAAGCAGTAAAACAGATATAGTACTAACAAGAACGAAGATATTTACTATCTAAAATGTAAACGGAATGTTTTGGTTCAAATTGTTGTTTTTTTGTTTTTTGTCTGTTTTCCAAAAGAGGACAGTTTATTATCAATTCACAATTAAAGCAGCATGCAATTTATTTTTTTTTTTTAAACTTTTTATGTTTTCAATTCTTGGCAACGGCAACAAACCACAACATTATCAAGGAATGTAATGCATTGTGCGCAAATGACTGTTTCCCTTCTGGTCATGGATATGTCCAATAAATAGATTGTAGAACCACTGTACTGTATAAATTTCATTTATACATGCAGTTCATAAAATTATTTTTTCTTAACTGAATAATTTACCCTGTTATGTATATATACAAATAGATAATTTTTGTCTCAATATAATCTATACAACATAAATCCACTATCTTCCCCTTTTAATGGTCAATGTACATACACAGGAAGTGTCTATCCTTATGAATCGCCAGCCAATTCTCTTTTTGCTATCCATGGTAAGGGCCCGCACGTACGATTGGGTAGTTCGGCATTGGGAGTTCCAATGCCTTTTGTCTATGCCCCTGCAGCCTTCTTTCGTGTAACCCATGGGATTGCACTTGGTCTCGTAGAAGTATTGCTTCAGTTGGCCTTTTGATACAGGGACTTTCTCAAGGACTGTGACCGTCCCACCTGACATGTCCACTGCAGTCTTTTTATCTGCCGCTGTTACCCACTCACTAATACTGTCACATACACTCAGCTCCCCACGGCGGGCAGGGTCAGAGTGGCGCCGGACCCTCATAGACATGTTTGCAGCATCCAGGTAATTTTTGTATTCCTCAAGCAGAAAGAGAAGAGGAGGCTCCAAAGGCACTTGACTACTGAGCATCACCCTGGAAGTGTACAAGTCTGCGTCCTTATTGTTTTCTTCGCTGGGCCGAACTTTCTGGTCCTCATCCAACAGCTCTTCTATCACATGTTCAAAAGTGTCAGCCAGTGACGTCAGGCCTCTTGAACCTGCCTTGGGCCCATTCATGCTCTCCAGAGTCCCATGGGTCCGCACACCCGGGTAGGCCAAGCTGCCTTGTCCTCGGACATTTGCTTCTTTCATGGGGGCAGCCTTCATGCAACCGAAGTATGAAATAACCATAGTAAGGAAAAGGATGGTCATCACTCTTCTCACCTGGTGGAACTGCGGGGAGAAAACAGAAACAAGACACACAGCCGGTTAGGGCTTTCTTTCACAGGGATACAATGTGGCCCATCTGATTGTAATTGCAGTCCATTCTGCAGGGTAAAGGTTTTCTATGTCTTGGTGATAAACTCCAGCTGCACCAGACACAAATCAATGTCAGTCCTCTGCTCTATGTAGTTTAATATAAACCAGAGACGTGCAGTGTTTTCCCCAAGACTGAGCATATAAACCTGAGATTAGATGGCTTCTAAGCAAGTGAAAAAATTGTAGCTTCAAGTTCTCCTTCCTGCCACTTTAGCAGCTTTGTAAGTTTAATTTTTAATGATCTCTGCTCATGCTCTTACAAGAAACACAAAATCAGAAATGTTACTAAGCAACAATTGCAAGTGCAATAGTAATTTTTTTTTTTTTCAAGTTAGCAACAGCGTTTTTTGTATGATTATGTGACAGGAACAGTAGTGGCCTGAGGGATCTGATGGGCCTTTCTAGCTATGTGATGTCTAGGCATGAATAGCACAATAAAACAGCAGGCAGAGAGCTGTAAGGAGACTTGACATCACTATTTCTTTTTTCTCCCATAGAGATAATCTATTATAGCAAAGAAAAAAGGTAATGTTATTGAGTCATCCTATTTTACAGATAAGAAAAACCAAAGGCCATAGAGGACTTGCCTCATGTCATGAAGAAAGTTAAAACATTAGAACTCAGGGCCCCCAACTCCAGTGTTCTATTACACCTGGGTGGTCATAACTAAAAATGTTTCCTTATTTCCAAACAAATCATTTTCTACATGTTCACTTTAATGATGTGTCTATGCCTGGGGCTGATACCATGAAAACAATGTGTCTGCTTAAGAGAAAACTGGAAAAGTCAGCATTAAAAAGGCATTTAAGTCAATTTCAAATGCCTCCCATATGCGGATTCTGTGTTTATCTCCACCAACTCTCTGAAGCCCCTCACCCCTTGTCTCTTCTGGCTAATATAGAGACCTAGCTAAGAAAGCTCAACTTTGAGAGAGAGAGAGAGAGAGAGAGAGAGAGAGAGAGAGAGAGAGAGAGAGAGAGAGTGTGTGTGTGTGTGTGTGTGTGTGTGTTAGTTCTGAGTTTATCATACTTTTAAAAAGCTGAGTGGCATTTTACACATTTTGGTACAGGCAGCTAGTGCTTCTTTCTGTGCTTTTGAAGTTTCCTGGGAAGTCTTTTAACAGCACATCACAAAATTAATCTCTTCTTGTTGCCAGAGAGTTGCTCTACTCTTAATGTGTCTCTACATCTACAAGCACGCTCTAAGAAGCCAATTAAAATGGATGAAGCAAAATGAAAACATACCTATGGACCAACTCAAGGTCACTGTCAGGTATTGAAGGACTTCAGAATTACTTACCTGAAGCACTGTGTCCCTTAGTAGTAAAGAGTAGCATCCCCCAACCCTGACATTCTAACTTTATTCCTACTTCTCAGTTCTAGGGCATGGACTTACAAAAAGACACACATGCCAACATCATTATGCTGTGCAAATAAATAGGAAAAAGGACTGTGATTTTTTCCACAAAGTGATACTGAACGAGAAGGCAACCTACCTCCAGTCAACAGTGTGGAAATGGCTGAAAAATGTGATGTTGAGAATCAAATGTTTCTGCTCTCCATTTTTTTTAAGAGATAACATTTTCTACCACTAAAAGACTTTATTATCAGCCCTAAACACAAATTTCCTTTAGGTTCACTCTCACTTTGCACAAACAGCAACCATGCTCAGAAATGCTTGGATTACACAGTGGTCTGACACTAGGAGGGCCACAATGGTCTGAATAAAATCCAGATGTCTATTCTGCTAATATTTAAACTTTTGTGAATGTTCTGGATTCTGTACCTTTAAAGAAATGGATCCTCCAAGGAGGTTTCTATCACTGGCAGATGGTACTTACACCATTGAATGAAAGACCTTTCTTCTAATATTCCCAGTTCAAATTAAACAACCCATGGGGTACCTTACATTTAAGTCAATGAAAGAAGGCAAATTTGGAATACTTCAGCCATTTACATCACTCTGGTAGAGATATATGTGATCAGCTATCTTTTAATACTATATTTCATCAAGTTTAAGATGCCATCCTTATAAAACATACCATTTTATATGCCACTAGGAAAAAAATGCAGCCAAACTATTGCTATACCACTTAAAGCTTTTATTGTATACTTACAGAAAGAATTTTTTTAGATTTTTTTGGATACGTTTGATCGTATATAACTTTTATGTATATGTAACAAATAAAAACAAGCAAAATAAATTGGTTAAGGCAATGACAACTATGTCATGGCTGCTAAATATGACAAGATGGCATCAACTGTAAGATTTGAGGCATGTTAAAATATGAAAAAAAGATGAATCTTAGAATTAATGAAATACAGTAAATTTAACAAGTATTTATTTTAAGTGATCACACTAACTGCTTAAAATAGCCCAAGGTACTGAGGCATCAAAATACAGAGTTGAAAAATTGTTTTGTTATCATTACTATAATAATGAGTCTTTTAATGGTACTGCCTTTCGCTGGTCTCATTTATCTTTTTATTAGTAAGTTTTTTATTACAAAAGTAATTAATGCTTTATGCACAATTCTCTTATCAGTTCCACAAGCAAATATTTCAGAGGAACAATCGGCATCTAAGTAAATATTACTTGGCCTTCATTCTGAAGTTCAAACGTGGGCAACCCTCAAAGCTGAACGTCTCCACAGATTCAAAAATCAACTAACTGATGATGAAGTCCCACCCCATATCTCTAGCTCTGCCCTCTGAGCGGCACTTTTGAAATTCTGTCTACTCACTTATAAGTCCTTGAAGTCAAGTGGGTCCAACACCAAACTCAATACCTTTTTGTTGAAACAAACCTACCTTTTCTGTTTCAAACAACGGTTTGCTGATATTTTGGAAACTCAGGCACAGGCTAGAAATCTTGGACAATACATTTCTTTAAAAAATATTTTTAAAATATTTTCATTGAAACATATTGATTATATAAATTTATGGGGTGCAGAGCAGTATTTCAATATATGTATACAATGTGTGATGCTCAAATCAGGGTAATGAGCATATTCATCATTATAAAACTTAATCATTTCTTTGTGATGTGGACATTTCACCTCCTCTATTCTAGTCATCTGATAGAATGCAGAAACTTATTGTTAATTATAGATGCCTGGTTCAACTGTACACCAATAGAACTTATTTTTTCTATCTAGCTGTAATATTTTTATTCAAAAATTTTAACATTTACATTATATGTTTGTGGGGTACAGTGTGTTGTTTCAATACATGCATGTGCTGCACAATGATTCACTTAGGGTAGACAGTACAGTTTGTACCCTTTAGCCCATCACCTTTCATTTCTTGAATAGCCTTCAAATCCAGTCAGTAAATACAGCCTGCTGATTTTTCCTTTAAAACATTTCTGCGGTCCATCTCTTTTTCTCCATTCCACTGCTACCATCTTAGCTGAGCCCTCACTATTTCACTTCGTGACTACAATGTCCTTGCTCTATTAAACATCCTTTGTGCTCCATACAACTCTGATGACCACTTCCTGACTAAACACTCTCATCTTATTCTCTCACACAAAAAATTGCAATGGCTTTTTTGTTCCATCAGATCACATCTCACCTTTTCTACCTGGTATTCAACACCCTCCAAAATCTGGTCTCTCCCTACTTAGCTAACTTTTTATTACTTGATGCTTCATCACTTCTGTTCTGATCAGGCCAGAGTCCTTGAGCCCTATATACATTATTGCCTGGAAGTTACCTGTCCCATTCTTCTGGAAAACTTCTCTCTCTCTCTGACTAAATCTTGCTTATCCTTCTTGATGCAGTTCAAGCATCAAATCATGCATGCTGCCTTCTCTACTCCAGCACACACTGCCTTCCTCCTCTAAAATTCCACATTACTCCTACTCAGTACTTCCTTCCCTACTCACCTGTTAGTTGTTAACTGTATTCACTAATTATGGTCAGTCCTCAGTCCTCAGTTGGAAGGTAAGCTTTCTGAGGGAATGGATCATTTCTGCTCCCCCATAATGCTTAACACAGACAAATGGAACGGTAGTACTCAGTAAAAGCTTACTGATGGGTTTAATAAACTAAGAGAAAAGACAGTTCTGACATAATTTTCACAGGAAGCTTTTCATTTGGAAAGCATCAGTGAACTCACTGAAATTCGTAGGTAAAATATAGGCTGTACTAACCCCAAATTATAAGTTCTAAGGAATTTCACAGATGGTGATTATCAGCCATGAGCCATTTCTTGAGTTCTGTTATTATGGTAAAGCTTTACTTGAATAATTAAAAAGCAATTAACAGTACAACATACTAACTGCCCTACTACTTCTTGTGAAGTTCTGTTTCTAATAGATCAATAGGAGACTTGGAAAGCAGTCAGGAGTAGTAGTAGTAATAATAATAATAATAATAATAATTAATAATAATAGCAGAATTTGGAGTTTTCAGTCTTTTAATTTCCTTTATTCTGCTAAGCTCTTCAATGAGTAATTTTACACATTGTATTAGGAAATCATAAAAGATTAAATAAGAACTTCCATGACAATTCTTCATTTCTGCCCTTCAGGCGAGTCTTTATTACACAAAAGATAAAGAGGAAGTGCAATATTGCTAAGTAGATCATTAGTCTATAATCTATTTAATTTCACTGGTGCTGTCTACTTCTGCTACAAGGCTTACAACAGTCAACTCAACTACATCTATAAAATGCTAAGGTTTTCGTAGCTCCACTGTCAGAAAATTCGATATAGTACACAGGACCATAAAGAAAATCAAGTAGAAGTAAAGTTTGGTTTTAAGCATGACTCACAAATCTTAAGCATTTAGCCAGAAGACTACTCGTGACAGCATGCTCTCCTGCCATAGTAATAGCTTATATTCACCTAAAAGACTACAGAGCATTTACAAGCATTGTCTAATTTGATTTTTACAAGGAAACAGGACA